GTCACCCAATCTTTTTGCTGCAGGGGTTGCTTTTATCAGGTCCCGGGGGATACTTGGGAGGGGGAATCAAGGCATGTTCTGATCCTCCCCACCCCACCCCGGAAGGCTGGCACCATGTCTCTTGTAAGGACCAAGGAGAGGCTTCTCAGGCTGAATGGGTATGTATGGCAATGCCAACTCCATTTTGGCACTAAGAGCACCAACATACCCGAGGGACCGCCTTTCCCCATATATACCCGACATACCTGAGGGACCGCCTTTCCCCATATATACCCCAGAGAGCACTACGGTCGGGGTCACAACACCAATTGACCCTTCCGGGCCCCAAGGATGCGAGGCTCACTGCCGCCAGGGCCTTTTCAGTGGCAGCTCCATACTGGTGGAATAAGCTCCCAGAAGAGATCAGGGACCTGCAGGATCTTCTACAGTTCCGCAGGGCCTGCAAGATGGAGCTCTTCCACCAGGCTTTCAATTAGGAGCCGCCCTCACCACTACCACCAACATCTGTGGTTATGGGTCAGCCCCAGCTTTGAGATCGAGCCATACCATCGTGTGACACCAGAAGATCACTGAGACAGAAATTGTCTGCTTGTTACATCATATAGCATGCCATCTCAATTAATGATGGAATGATTATTATTACTAGCACTTTACCTGATTGTTTTAAAATGTTTTAATATGGATTGTACCAACTAATGTAAGCCGCCCTGAGCCTGTTCACGGGGAGGGCGGGATACAAATGGAATTAATAAAATAAATAAATAAATTTGGTAAAAAAACCAGATTAAAGTTCATGCTATGCATAACGTTAGTTTGACACTGGATGAGAAGAGTGTCTGAGCTCCCCAATCTAACCTAGCAAGCTGCACTTGCAGGCCTTCAGGTATATTTTATTTTAAAAACAGCTTTTACTGGAGATGTTGCCACTAGCTCTGCAGAGTGAATTTTACTCCGTTCCAAAATCAGCACATGGCTTCTTCATGCTACCAGTTCTTTCAGCACCTCATCCGTGGAGAGACACGTTCAGGTCTAGGCTATTAAAAGGCTGAGTGCTTCTATTCTCAGGCAGCTAGACAGTTCCCCTCCTCCAGAAGTGACAGCTAACCCCACCCCCACTTACAGTTCTGTATGCAGTAGCCTGAGAGCAATGATTTCATCAGCACCTCCCGTGCAAGCTCTTGCAGCTTGCTGTAGCTCTCCGCCCCACATGCAGCTAAGGCTCCCTGGTCACCGGAGAAGTAAGCAGGTTGCCCATCGGACGATGTGGTGTTGCCGCTCCGGACCTCTGACAGCTGGTTCTTCACATCCGACATTTTACTGCGGACCTCGGCCATCTGACTTTTCAACCTCTTCAGCATCTTCAAGTCTGGTGAGACACGCCACATGGCCTGGTGCCTCCGCTGATCCCGCTCTTTCAGAGAATAAGATGCTTCATGGAGAGGAAACAGGAAAGGTGTTAGCACTCACCAACATCACCCCTTGAGAACGCACAGGCCCCAGCATCTAAATGGTACTTTTCTGCCCTGTAGTTATTCACCATTCCCAATCAAGGGACAGTGTTGGCAAACAGAACATCAGCCCTCACCACCCATAACCTGGAAGGAAACCGTACGGTTGGTTCCCTTTCTTTTCCTGTTACTCCAGACTACGCTATACACTGTGGCATGAACCATGCAGATACACAAACGGCACCAGCTGTGCTTATCTAGGAGCTCAGCAATCTGTCATCTGGATGGAGCCTCACACCCCAGTCCAGTTACTCCAAGACTTTGCCCTCCCATTGCCCTAATGCATGTGCTCTATCAGCTGCATTGGTTGCCAGCTGAGTATCGGATCTGCTTCAAGGTGATAGTAATTACCTTCAAAGCCTTCTATGGCCTGGGACCAACATACCTAAGGGACTACCTCTTCCCATATACGCCTCAGAGACCGTTACACTCTGAGAGTCAACATCTCCTGGTGATCCCTGGCCCGAAGGACGTTCATCTAGCCTCGACCAGGGACAGGGCCAGGGCTTTTTCCGCCCTGGTCCCCACCTGGTGGAACATGCTCCCTATCGAGATCAGGGCCCTGCGGGATCTTATTCAATTCCACAGGGGCTGCAAGAGCTGTTCCGCCAGGCCTTTGGCTGAGGCAGCGGGCGTCCACATATGGTTCCCCAAGGTTGCAGTCTCCCACCTACTGATAACCAGCCATACCTAGTTACATCAATGGGCCGGATTCTCCCTACGGCAAGCATGACTATTGATTTTATGTTTTAATGTGTCTTACATTTTATTTTATTTATTGAACTGTTGTGACCTGCCCTGAGCCCGTTTACGGGATGGGCGGGATATAAATGCAAAGTGTGCTAAACATGAAGTAAAGATAAGAAAGGATTATGCAAGTGATGTTATGTGTGAGCATGTCAAAAGAATGAGACAAAGAATTTGAATTATTTGGAGCAAGGCATGTTTAGCTTTAACTATAAAGTGACATCTTAACAGACCCCCATATAGCATTTTGTATAATAAGTGGCTTAAAGTTTCAGCTAACTGCTTGTGCTTTACTGGTTTATTGCTGGGATTGGTTTACAATGTTCTAGCCAACGTTTTCAGCAATTTTGTGGCTACCCTGACATGGAAATATGAGAGACATCTATTCTTAAATAAAGCAGTGTTACAGCAGAGTTGGAAAAGATTTACTTCTGGAAATTCCTCTTCAATAAGAGGATTCCCCCATCACACCAATAACAGATCAAACTGGAAAGCAGCTTTCCTACAATGACTTGTGTTCAGAAGGAAACAAACGAAGTGGGCGTTAACGAATACTGTACCTACACTACAACGGGGTGGGGGGGGTGGGGGACTACCAAATATCCTCCCTCTGCCCACCCAGGGGGATCAGGACACAAGAATTGTGGAAGATTAGGACAACTGCAGAAAAGCTCTCTTCACCACCTCACACCAATCTGTCTTTAAAATGCTTTTCTAGAAGAATCCAGACTCAAACTATTCAGCCATTTTTCTTTAGCAATAGCATGAGGCTAAATCAAAAGCCACCAGTCAAAAGTCCGTTCCTGCCACTCTCTGCCTATCGTTACAGGGAAGAGTAGGATGGAAAGAAGATGTGTGCACGCCTGTGTCCCAGATGGATCATCATTTCTCTTCTGCTCTATTAAGTCAACAAAATGGTTGTTTCAAAGTGACCCGAAACAAGATTTTGCTGGCTACAGGCCAATCAGCCTGGAACAAATACGTCACTCCTGCCAAGTCTATTTACCAGATGTGATTTAGTTTACCGATTCTTTGCTAACAAGAGGAGCATCTGACCTTCACTAGCCGGGAGTAGCTGAAGGACATGTACTATTAAAGTCACTTTTCCCCACTGTTATATATTCAGTCGAAGCTTGGTAAATATTGGACTTTCACACACCTACCAAGTGCAGTCAGGGTTAAGTCGTCTCTCCTCAAACACTGGCTCTCTCTGAGAGTTGAGGAATGCCACCCCTGTGCCTCAGGTACATAAAGGATGGTGACTGACTACAGGCACCTCAGCACTTGGAAGAATCCAAACTGGTCTATTTTCCCCACAAGCTGCTATATGAGCACAGAGCTGCCAAGTACCAGGGACATGCTGTGTAAATCAATAATAGTTTGGATTAATTTAACCCTCTACAGCCAAAGTCGGTGCACACCACTAACAAACTAAAATACATCCAGACATCTGAGGAAGTGTGCGTGCACATGAAAGCTCATACCTTGAATAAACCTTTGTTGGCCTTAAAGGTGCCCCTGGACTCAAAATCTCTTAAACCAAAATATACGCTGTTTTAATCACACTGTGGAATTTGTCAACTGCATTGATTCATATTTTTGTTTTTGCATTTAGTTTACAGTGATCCTCTTACCAGGAGGAATCAAACTATGACTAAACCTGCTTATTCCCTCAGGGACTCTTGAGAAATTGGGGTTCTGTGTACACATAACCGTATAAGGGGTGTGTATTAGAAAGCATAATAAAGTACGGGGGGGGGGGGAGAACCAAACAGGAGTCCTATAACACCCTTTTAAAGAATACCTTTTTTATTATCACATAATCTTTTGTAGAGTGGGATTTCCCTTTCTCAAGATAATAAGCCTCATTCTACAAAAATGTAGGCTGTGTCTTTCAGTGCCACAAGGCTCCCATGTTTTTCCTTCAACGGGCTAAGACCCCTTCTGCTCCAGACCTTTTGCTCTACCTTCCCTCACAACTGCAGTGGTTTTTTCCTTCTTTCACACAAAACCATGCTGATTCTGCAGCTTTCCCCTTTAAGTCACAGCAAAAAACCATCCTTTACTCCAGCTCAAAGGGGAAAGGACAAGACAGCTGCAGGCAAGTGTCCAGATGAAAGCTCTGCCTGCAGCCAGCCTAGGGAGGGAGGAACAGAGCTAAACTCTATATTCCCCACCACCACCTCAACCTTTTACAGGCTTTGTTTTTAATGATAGCTGAGCCTCAGCTCAGCTGTCAAGGGGTATGTTGCTGGGCTGCAGAGGCCTGGCAAGATGCTCCTCTGCAACGCTGCTCCTCCATAGACCTGACAAAGGGGAATGGTTGTGACAGCAGTAAGCACTGCAGGGGCAAGGAGCATGGAGGCTTCTCATGCCCCCACACAGAATACAATTACTGATCCGGAACAAAGCAATTTTTAAAATCAGTATAGGAAAACAGAATTTTATTAAGCAAGAGGAACTTCAGCCTTCCAAGTACCACAGAGCCAATGAGATGGCCACAGAAACGGACATTTCTGAGGAATTTCTTAGCCTTGGTCCCTCCTTGTGGGGGAGGACACACATGGCAGAGACATTTACTGTCTAAATGTTACTGTGCTTTCACACATGCTAAATAATGCACTTTCAATCCACTTCAGCGACAGTTTGCAAGTGGATTTTGCCATTTCACACAGTAAAATCCAGTTGCAAAGTGGATTGAAAGTGTGTTATTTAGCGTGTGTGAAAGCACCCTTAGTGTATTTTTACTGTTTTCCCTTTATGCACAGGTTTAATAGGCAATTCAGAGAGACACCAATATATGGTCTTCAAGTACATCCCATTACATTAACACCGTAACATGCCCCAAATGTACTGGACAGGAGGTCTTTGCAAAACTCTTATGGGTTATTACACCAATAATCATGATGGTGATTTGCCCCTTAATCCCATTATGTGAGATTAAGCCTTGATGATTCCTGCGGGATTACTTCCACATAAGAAGGTTTAAGATGGTGGTTCTTATCTGCAGCCCAGAGCCACCAAAGAAAGAATAATCACCAAGAAAAAAAAGATTTCTTAAAGCAGCACCACAAATGAGGAGAAACTACAGATGTGAACACACTGCAATGATTTCCCAGACAAAGGGAAGAAGGTGGTTTTTAGAGCTGCCCACTCACCTCTGTTCTGCAAAAGTGAAGCTGGAGGGCGTGGCTGTAGCCCCCACAAGTTTTCCAACCCATTTCTGTCTTTCAAGTCCAACAAGTGTATTAAAGTCAAGGGGTCTATGTCAAGTAAACCGGTACTGGAAGAAGAGCCCAGCGCACTTCCTCCCCGCCTTGACATGCGGCTACCTGTGGTAGGATAGCCATGGCTCCCACCTGGAAGAACAACAGGACCGAGGACTTATTTTATACAGGTTTTGTTGACAGCTAAAAGCATGTGACACGTATCAGTAGCCCTGGTGGGTTTTGTAAAGTTGGTCAGCATTATAAATTCCTGTGGTTGATCAGCATTATAAAGTTGGTCAGCATTATAAATTCCTGTGGGACTGCTGTTTGCCTATAGCTACCTAGTCACCTGGCTGACTGGAACAGGGGAATTCTGCATTCAGGCCCCAGTGTTATACTAGAACAGATCATGTCAAAGAACAGGGAAGGCTTGGTCTGCATTAGGTGATTCTGCCATCCCTAGCTTGCTTTAAAGGTGCTAACCTTGAATCTAGTAGCAATCACAGACCTTTTTTTCCTTAAAAAATAATATTCCCACTCCCTTTCCCCACCATCTTTTCTGCATTTTCTAGTATCCATACATCAAGAAATGAAGCTTTATCTCGCTGCCCCACCCCATAATTTCTTCTGGAGGCCTAACCCCAAACATGATATTTGTGAATAAGATCATACCTGTTCATTCTTCCACGTGCCCAGCATCTCATTTAAGCTGGGCTCTCAGGTACTTTGTGTGCAGCTTTAGCATGCCAGGATCAGACAGCAAAGCCTCCCCAGGCAGACACTGCACTGATGCACTAATGCTGCATGAGTAGCTGCAACACACATGCACCAGACCACATTAAATGAAACGCTGGGCACATAGAAGATCATATGGGTTAATGCTTTTCACCCAACATTTAGTTAATCAAATTTAATTAGGGGATGAAGGAAGGGAACAAAATAATCCTGTAAAACCGTACTGGGTCCAAGTCCAAGTAGGACAAGAGATGACACACTCACCCACCATTGTTCTGGGGAACAGCAGCAGTAAGGTAGTAACAACATACAAGGTAGTAATAGAGAGTCTTTCCATTCCAATTACCTGGTTGTTTATAACATCAGGACACTACAGTTGGTACCACAGAAACACTGGGCACCAGCTTGCAAATAGGCATGTGCTTCTAGTGAGCAAGAATTGCCCAGAAAGCCAGGTAGCAAAGGTTTCTTTTCGGGGGGGGGGGGGGGATGTAAATATTTCAGCTATGTGTGGGCAGCAGGGCTAGTAAAACTGTGCAAGTTAACAGGATCTGTGGACTTGCATCCTAGATAGCTTAAAATTCCCACTTAGCTTTTTGTCCTCTTGCCTCTCCTATACCACACTTTAACAAGTGGATGGCAGAGTACTCCCAATATTAATATGAAGTACAGATTTTTTGTATGCTGTGAGGTATTTAGCTGGACTCGCCGTTTAAGTCCAATCTGAGAAAGATCCCAGCATCCATGTAAAGATCCTTGCCAAACCAGGCAAATTGGAACAAGTAATTAAAACACTGGGAGATTCCTTTGGGTGGGCTAGTTATCACTGAGTAAGGATTTTACAGACAGCAACAGTAAAAGGAGTAACAAACAGGACACACAGTCACTTTGTTCTGAACATATTATACCTCTGTCTCTGCTCCAGTAAAGGGGGTGGTATTAATCAGTTAGATATGAATTAATTTCCTGGCTTAGAAAGAATTCCATCAGAGGTATAATTTACCTGTCGTATACCAGTGATTGCTATCTGAGCCACAATAGGGTTTAGACAGTTAAGAGAACTGCGATATAAACCCATCAATGTCTCCCCCATAGAATAATTGGCAGCTCTTTGCTACAACATTTCCCAATAGATCTTGCCAGCACTGGCATTTCAAGTGCCAATTTAAAAACAAGTCATCTGCGCTTCTGAGACCCAGTAATACTATGAATCTGCATCTGAATTAATCAAACCATTAATTCACAAGCTCAACAAAATTCCCTATAAAGATAGATTGTGCCCCTGTGGGATGGGGGAAATCGAATCCATTGGACATGTGCTATTGTACTGTAAATTCCACTGTGACATCCGTGTTGTTTATATTGAACCTGTGTTGGACCCCCTTTTGGGCCAATCTGATGAGCATAAAATTAGTTCTTTATTGTCTTCACATAATATAGAAATTCTGGAACCTGTAGCAAATTTCTTTTATGAGGTATCTAGGAGGAGAGGCTCATATTAAGGCAATTCGGAATGTGATACCCCTCCAGCCTATCTTGAGGCTCTATGCTGCATGTGTATTTGATATTTTATGCCAATAAAGGTACTGTATTTGTATTTGTAATTCACAAGCTTCATCCCTTCCCCAGCACAGATTACAAGTTAAAACCATACAACATAGGCATTACTCCAGTTGAAAATTACACTAACTAGGGCTATTTTATTTATATATTTTAGAACAAACTATTTTAAAAAGAGTACAGTGGAAGTGCTAGTATTCCACTGATATGCTTTAAAAAAAGAGTCCAGCTGCAAGCATTCTACGTCTTGCAGCCAATGGGAACACTGCCCTACATTGCAATAATCACTGTAGATGATGCAGCAGTTCCAAAAATAGAAAATCCTGCAGAATACACAGCTCTGTGTTGCCTCTGTCGAGTCACTGAGAGCCAGGAGAACAAGGGATATCAGGCTCAACACCAAGATATGTGCCCAAGGAAAATGGTCTTCCCACATACTTGAAGCACTGGCAGTAGCACAAGCTGCTTCCTCCATGAGGTTTCCTTCCTCCAGCTCCATGTGGTTGCTGTATTCCACATCATTCTCTCCAGACCTTACGAGCAAGATGGGGGGTGGGGGTGGGGGTGGAGAACAAAAACAGCCAGCTCAGTTTGGCTCCCATCTTAAAAGTTATCATTCCAAATAGCTTCATGGATTCTAAGCTGCACAGACATACAACTTATTTATTGCTACTGTATGAGTCTGGCCAATTCAAACATGCCTGGATGTCCATTCAACACTTAGGAACATGAGAAGAATCCTGCTGGGTCAGACCAGTGGTTCATCTAGTTCAGCAGCATGTTTCATAAAGCGGCCAGTTCCTCTGGAGGACAGACAAACAGGGCACTGAGACCAAGGCCTTCCCTTGATGTTGCCTCCTAGCACTGATATTCACAGGTTCACTGCCTCTGAATATGGAGGTTTCCCTCAGTCATCATGACTATGGGCCATTCATCTGTTAAACCCTATTTTAAAATAATCCATGCTTGTGGCTACCACTACATCCACTGGCAGTGAGTTCCATAACTTATTATTTATTTATTTGATTTTTATCCCGCCCTCCCTGCCGGGATAAAAATAATTACTCACTGGCTTTCATCTGTCCTGAACCTATTGCCCAGCAACTTCATTGGCTGCCCCAAGTGCTAGTATTTTAAGAGAGAGAAAACGTCTCTATCCATATTCTTCAACCCAAGCATAATTTTATAAACCTCTATCATGTCCTCTCTTCATTTGTCTATTTTCTAAACTGTAAAGGCCTTCCCTCACAAGAAAGGTGATCCAACCTCTTGGTTATCACCTTCTGACCTTTTCCCAGCTTCCAATTGATAACAAGCAGCTTAGGCTTGGTTTAGCAAAACTAGCAACAGAATAAAATGGCAAAACCCTAAGGTGGTCAAGGTGGACTACAACAAAGTCAGGCAGAGGATGCCATTTCAAATGCTAACCCAAAAAGGAAAAAGAAAATCCTGCAAGTTAAAATATAGCACAGCAAGGAGAAAGCCACCATAACTTGCTTCTTGAGGTGCTAATTTTCTACAGGCAGGGAGAGACCTTTTTTATTCAGAGGAACATTCAAAAATATGATCCACCCACCTGCCATGTGAAACAATACAATCCATTCCAGAATTCATTCTCCGGCATGCAAAGACGCCTCAGACCAGAAGAACCAATGACATTGCATAAGTATACAGATAAAGACATTCTACGTAGACTAGATAGAGGGAAAACTTTTCAAACGGCCTCAGACAAAATACCGTAGAGCTGTTTAGACTACAACAGCAATTGATTCAAAGACACCTGGATGAGCTCTTCTGCTGAAGATGTGCAGGTCTGGCTCTGCCAGCTGCCTGGCAAATGTATGAATCTGTTTTCATATGAAGGCAGCTCCTCGTTCATTTGCAATGGATGCAGGCACCAAGGAGATGAACAACAAACAGAAAAGATTCTTGCAGACACTTACATGGTCTCTTCGTCTATATCGTTCTCTTCTGTGTTGCTGGTCACTGTTGAGCTAGCCGAGGAACTGCTGTCATCCAGGTGGTTCATCTCATCCTCCCCAGCAACATCAACATCCAGATCTCCATCTGAGAGTTCATGCTGGAGACGCCATGAAAAAAAAAAAAAAAAAAAGTAGCTGAAATCATATACAATGAAGGCTCAGCCTTAGCTGATAAGAATATCTGGAAGTTAATCCCCTTATCTGATTAGCAGGACTATGCAAGTGACTTTTTTGCTTAGACCCTGCTGATGGGAGCAGCCTTGCACTTTTGCAGTATAATACAGTGGAGTGGAACTTGGAATCCAAAAAAATCCCAGAACTAGTAACTTCTGTAACAGAGGAAGAAGAAAGGGAAGATCCAGGAGCCAACTTATTCCAAATGATTGTCCATTTGTAGTGTGAGAAGCTCAGGCTGCATATGAGTATTGGAGACATTATCCAGGACAGCCCCCTTAAACATTTGTATCTAATTAAGTTAAGAAAGAATATGATAAAAATCTTTCCAAGCTTCTTCTGATCATGGGTTGAAAGAACAGTATAACTAGGTTTGCATAGCACCACTTCATTGTAATATTGTGTTAAGATGAACTAGAGTATCTTCCAAGAAATTATTATGTAGTGGATGTATGCAAGAATGGGTCTGAACTGCCACAATCATCAATAAATGGCTGCCAAACAGCAAACAATAATCCTTCCCTCTGATAAGTTTTATCTGATGTGCTAATTTCTCTTACAACACATTTCCAAACCTAGTCATTCTACAGTTTCAGCTTAAGTTGTTCAGCAGATTTACTGTGTTATAACATTTAACAATGTTTGTATTGCACCTTTCGGCTGAATAAAGTCAGCCCTCGAAGTGGCGAATATAAAAACAAAACAATACACTGAATAAATAAGGGTAAGACAAAACAAAAGCATATAAAAATGTATCAGCGAGATAAACCAATCCCCCAAAATAATTCATAACAGCAAAATCCAACAAAAATTGCCACTAAATCTGAAAATCAGGCAGTCCGTAACAGGAAGAAGAAGAAAAAGACACATAAAGGGGAAGAATCAGATGATAGAAGAAAATAAGCTTAATGGATAACAACATTAGAAGTCTTCTGGGGGGGGGGGGGATCACACAAATTTCAACATCTTCTGGAAGGCCTGAAGAGAGGGGGAGCAGTGAACTTTCAGGGAAAGCCCTGCCCTTGCTGGCCATCCACCCTGACCTTCATCCCAGATAGTATGCAGAGTGTACCACCTAAAGGAGGATGTTCCCAACGGTGACACTTGCATCTTCTTGCCAGAAGTAGCCTGAAAACTCCTCTTGCTTCTTTCTGTGGCCACTTTTGATTCTGCCTTCAACAGGGCACACATAGGGCAAGTGGAAGGAGCTTCCTTCCTCAGAGTCAGGTGTCAGCATAAAGCAACAGGCCTCCATGACTACCAAAAAAGCAAGCATCGATCCAACTCTCCTGCCAGCTTTACTGACTAAAGGAAATGTGGCAGAGGGAGTCACGTTTCTGATGCCACTAGGGGGGGGGGGGGGGGAACCCCCCTGAAAATAAGACGTTGGCACATCAGGAACAAAGGTTCTAGTCTAGCTTTTTCCAAGCTGTGCTAAGTTTTTCCACTTACTCAGGTAGGTTAAAAAGAATTAACCCCTTGGCCACTGGTATGATGTGGTCCGGTCCTTTCTGCCTCCTCAACATTCTGTCACCTCATTCTGCTGAATGCATAGAACAGACTTAAGCTTGCCAGGAATGTTGTGGGCACAACAGAAGGGCACTTACATTAAAATCTTCATAATGCCCCTTCTCCTCTTCCTCGTCCTTGGCATCTCGAGGACCTGCTGTTGCAGCCACAGTCTCAAGACGCAATTCTGAGTTTGGTCCCGACTTTTTGGGTCTTGCTTCTGGGCCACCATCACTTTGAGGGCTGAGATGAGTGTCCGGAGGAGACATGCTGTGGGCTTTCTGGGTACGGGACAGCTCGATTGCAAGCCTCTTAATGTTTGAAACAGAAAAAAGAAAACACATAACAGGCATGAAGCAGTGCTAAAGGAGTAGTAGTTTAATATAATTATAGAACGGCCATTCCCAAATGTTTGGTGGCATATACAAACGCTCTTCTACCAGGCTTTAGATTAGGAGCCGCCACTAACACATCGACAACATCTGAATTGCCAACAACTAAATTGTTAAGGCCCTTATGTTAATAGTAATAAGACAGCTAATGATACCGGTATGGCCATATAGTACCATCATAAAATGGCCTTATGAGACGTTATCGCCATCTACATGCAACAGCACTTTATATATAAATTTGACCATTTGTCTGTATTTTATACTATTGCATTGTTTAATACATCTATGTTTTATTGTATTTATTGTATTGTATTTTAATTAGTTGTAAACCGCCCTGGGCCTGCCCATGCAGGGAGGGCAGAATATAAATTGAACAAACAAACAAACAAATAAATAAATATCATAAGAAATGGATTAAACAAAACAATTAAAGTCTCCTGTGAGCACCATCTAAACAGCAGGATGACCACTGCATATCTGCATGATCTCTGCTGGAGGCAGGTGCTTTTGCCAAGTCTTTGCATTGGGTGTAACTGAAAAATCCCATGTATAAGGAACCGAGTAGCCAGTGATTCATGTACTTAGGTGTAAGAATGAAAATGTGATTCTAATTCGGAAGAAAAGCATGACTCAACTAGCAAATGCTGAAAGGGACAAAAAAGAGAGACAAATGCAGTAATGTTTTGTTCCTCAACAACGCAGCAGTCCAAAGACTATGCCATCTGTGTGGCCAATGGTAGTGTTAACCAATATCTTTTAACTGCTCTTAAATCTAGCATTTGCATACCACTCTGCTGCTTACCTCTTTGAGATTATTTATTTGTTGGACATTGCTTGACTGAGCAGCTTCTAGCTGAGAAATGTACCAGTGCTGGTCCCGACATTTCTGGAAGAAGGTAGGTGAACGCACCTGGAACCTTTAGAGAAGTGGTCATGAAGAATGGAGGGGAGGTGGCAAACAGACTTCATAAAACTCAAAAAAGCCCCATACGAAAAGAATCACTATAACTAAGATTAGAGCGGCTGGTTCTCATGCCAATCACAAAAGCAGCAAAATTAGGACACCCATAGACATGGTAGGAATCTCAGCTTATTCAGGAGACGCCCCCTCCCCAAAGTATGTAGAACGGAAAAGAATACAAATCCTTGAACTATTATGACTGAACAAATTTGGAAAATTGAAAAAAAACTGAAAGTCAGTGCAGGTGAAATGCTCATACCAATGCTGCTAAAGCAGAACCTTGGGTAGGAGAATTCAACACTCCCCACCTTCATCTTGTTTATCTCTAAAACTTAGACATGCAGTTTTAAAAATAATAAAATCAACCAGGTAAGGATGAAAAGGAGCACACATTGTTTACTGAGGCCATGATGACTGATATTCTACCAGCCTAAGGAGCAGAAAAAATATTACAGATGGCCTTTCGTTATCATGAGTGCTAGCATATGTTCAATAGATTTATTCAGTACTTGAGAGATCATCTACCCAGATGTAAGGGCAACAGCCACATTTAATTTATAGATTAGCTAAAAGGCAGGTGATTTAGTCAGGTGAAATCTTCAAATCATCCGACACTTGCCCTAACAGACACTTGCCCTAACAATTAAGCCTAATCTCTCTAGTAGCACACTTTAAACCATGTAGCACTGCATGAGTGCTAGAGGTCAGAATAGCATGCAATACTCATTGCCCCAGCCAGGCTTACCATGATTGCTTCTGCATGGCTAACAGACTAGTTCTCAGTTCAGTGACATGCTTCCTTACCTCAATATGACTGTGTCGTTTTGCCTGTTCAGGTAGCCTTCATTGGCAAGCAAGTCCAACCGAAAGAACCTGTTGTAACCCCAGCACTCCCCGACTTCAAAATCAGATGCAAATTCTCGAATGATGTTTTTAGAAGAATCGTTTGTGGATTGATGGACCATTTCCACACGGTACTCATACCTAAAAAGACAAAAGAACAAACCCCATGAGCAGCTGGCAGTCATATCTGCATATGGTCCAGAACGATTCTCCAAAAATATGCTTTCTTAGGAAATAGGCAGCCTTTTTAGTGAAGAGCTGGCAAACTTTTTGAGTGTAATTTGAGTATGTTGAGTCCAAATATTCTGTTTACCAAGCTGAATTCTGATAGATGACCTAGAAGAGTTAAACTAAATGGCATTCAAATGACAAGATTCAATCAGGACTCAAAAGGTTAAAGTCCTGATTCGTAGACTAGCACAAGTTTCGCCTTGCACATTCCTAAATTTAATTTTCTTCTTTGGCCTTCAATCTTTCCCAGCATCAGGGTCTTCTCTAGTGAGTGCTCCCTTCTCATTTGGTGGCCAAAGTATTTGAGCTTCATTTTCATTATCTGGCCTTCCAGGGAACAGTCAGGGTTGATTTCTTTTAGGATTGACTGATTTGTTCTTCTTGCAGTCCAAGGGACTCTCAAGAGTCTTCTCCAGCACCATAGTTCAAAAGAATCTATTCTTCGGCGCTCGGCCTTCCTTATAGTCCAGCTCTCGCAGCCATACATGACTACTGGGAATACCATTGCTTTGACCATGCGGACTTTTGTTGGCAGGGTGATGTCTCTACTTTTTATCATGCTGTTTAGGTTCGCCATCGCTTTCCTCCCAAGGAGCAGGCATCTTTTAATTTCATGGCTGCTGTCACAGTCTGCGGTGATCTGGGTGATCTGTCACTACTTCCATGACTTCTCTTCTATTTGCCAAGGAGTGATGGGGCCAGATGCCATGATCTTAGTTTTTTTGATGTTGAGCTTCAAGCCCACTTTTGCGCTCTCCTCTTTCACTGTGAGCAAGAGGCTCTTTAGGTCCTCTTCACTTTCTGCCCTTAGAGTGGTATCGTCTGCATATCTAAGGTTGTAATTTCAGGTTAACCACATTTTAATCAATGGCTGGGCCTCTGTTTTGCAGTTGTTAGTATCAACACATCTGCCTAAGCTCATAATACTAATCATCGTTAGCACTTACAAACCAGGTAGATTGCTTTTAATTTCAGATTAACTGTTATAATGCGTATGATTTATATTTGACTGTTGTTACTGTTGTCATACTTACACATGTCACACTCATTTTTATCTCAAATGTTACTTGTTATAACCAGTTTATAATTGTATGACTTTTGTTTGCTTATGGAAAACCAATAAAAAGAATTAAAAAAACACATCTGCCTAAGGCAAGGTTTTCCCAACAGGGTACCTGCCAAGTGTTTTTAGAAAGTAACTGAGACTTCTTTTTGCTAGATAGGGCTCTGGTCCAGCAGGCTGTGCAGATTAAAATAATGCTGTTTCAGGGGCAGCTGCCACCACAGTATTGGTTTTATTCTCTCTCTCCCCCCCCCTCCCTCTTTCCCAGGATATATTTTAAAATTACTCCTCTTGTTGCTTGCACTTGGGCTTCCTATGTGTGTGTAGCCATTTTGTCACTGGCCCCACCTCCTGCAATTGCTATTTTGTGGTTGCACTAACCACCTTGTATCAGAATTCAAAAAGTGCCTGGCATAAGGGATAGAACACCTCAGGCACCTGATGAACTGACTGCTAAGGCAAAAAAAAAAAAAGCTTACAATTTTGTTATAAATTAAAATATACAATAAATTCAGTTAGCCTGCCAGGTTCCACTAGACTCTTATTTAATTTTGCTGCTATAGACTAACATGACTACCCACCTGGAATAATTACTTACCCTGTGGCAGTGAGTTCTGCCAATTAATGCATCATGCAAAGATGTAACTCTCCTTTGTCAGTCTAAAACCTACCACCCATCAAGTTAATTCGATACCACCTCTGCCCTAGTTGCAGTACTTGTAGAGAGGGACACAAGTTCTACCCATTTTCTCTACACCACATATTATTTTAGAAGCCTCTAGCATGCCTATGACCCTGCCCACCATCCAAAAATGAAAAGCCCCAAACTCCTTTAAATCCTTTCCAGGTAGGAAAGGTGCCCCAACCTCTAACAGCTGTTGTGAGCCTTCTTCCTAGCACTGCATTAACCCTTGAGATTAATACAGAGAGCACAAGAGAAACACCTAGCCATTTTCCTTACTTGGATGTTTCCGGTAATCCAGCTGAAAGCTCAAGAAAGACAGACAAATAGTAGCCTCGAACAACTCCATTTCCATCCTTTAAAAACAAAAAGTTAGCCTGTTAGAAAGTGTCCGGAGGCTGTGAAACGAAGGTATGTTATATTACAGTTTCCCCAAATTGAAAGCGTAAATTGAAGTAGATTTTGGCCTGATGCATGGTTGCAGGGAGCTTAAGCTGACAGAAAATTCTCTTGCTACCAGGACTGCTGGTGGAGATGGGGACTACGAGTACAAAACTTTAGGGGCCCAAGTGTTTGGAGAATAGTAGCAAAATATTTGTGCTAATCAACTATCTTGCATGTGTTCTTCTAAATGTAAAGGCAGCAGAGGCAGCAGGAAGCTTCATCTGGGATTCCATGGTAGCTCTCAGCTGCCTGCTTCCCTTCTGCCAACTCACAGGACTCATGCTTGGATGCCAATATCAATGCATGTTTTGGAAACCACCTGCCCACTGAGTCTCTTCAAAGCTCTATGCCACAAACCCTCCCCCCCCCCACAGTTCTCCGAAGGATTTGCATGGGATTTTAAAAAACCAAAACCGCACCAGAATTCGTAGAGCTACCTTGTAAGCCATTGTGCAGTGGCGGGGGTGGGGCACTCCCCCCTGCCCCAAATTTACAGAATGGACACTAGCAGAGCAAGATATTCTAGGACAGGTTTTTAAGCAAAACGAAATTGCGTTTCTGTTACTCCCTCTTGCATCCAATGTTTTCAAAGAGATTCTTATTCCCAAGCTTCAAAAATACAAAAAGGATTATTTACAGTAGGTATTACGCAAATCTATGGCTTCCCTATATAAGTGAAAGTCTGATGCCCATCTTCACGGGAACGTCAACCTTCGTTAAAAATGTAAGCAGTTCTAACATACTATACATCTCTAAGAATATAATGCTCCTGAACACTGCAAGTTAGAAAACATAATGCACTGTGAGAGGAATTCACAGGTAAAACATATAACTTTTTTATTAGTACCACCACTGAAACTCACTGGATAAACCTTTAACCTCCAGCATAGCCCAGAAACTTGAAGAGGTGGACTGTAGACAGGATCTGCTCGCTGGCGCAAAGTGCTGTAGAGAAAATTGAAAAGAAATATCCAAAGAAGAGATTAAAGTAATGCCCACAGCACAAAACAGAGATGAAGAACTTTAAGAAATGATTGGCTCTTAGCACATTATTTCCAACCGTGAAATTAAGTGTTATTCACCAGAGTTATTCTTCCATCATATACCATAAAATTACCCCTTTCCATCATTTGAAACTACCCTATTTTATACTGCTGTAATCCATCACATCTCATCTTCCAAGGCTTCTGCCATTAACGCCCTCACCTGTCCAAAACCATCGACACATTATCCTTCCTCCTAATTCCACCTCCACAGCCTCCTTAAACTTTGTCTTCTTTCTCTGAATACCACAGTTCTGTAAGTGGGACTTCCCTTGAATTTCAATATGCCATCAAGATAAAGCCAAGTTCTTTTTTTGGTATAAAACTTTTGCCCTCGAACTTCCACTACAAGGTTCAGAGAGAGGCACTTACGCTTAAAAAGCACACTCCAGCTGGGCAGCTGTTACAGTAAAATGCAGTCCCAGCAAACACATGACATGGAAAAGCTAAGTTTCAAAGCCTGACAACCACTTTTGGAACAGATTTTGGAACCGTGGGGTCAGTTTGCTCCAGACGGAACCAGTTCTTCTACTACATCTGTAAAAATGAGCTGATGACATGAGCCTAAGTGGAGGATCAGCTGGTTATGGTCAGCTGATCAGCACAGGATCAGCTGGTTCTGCTCAGTTTTCCAGTGTGCCCGTCAGAGAAACAATGGCACAAGGAGTAATGTGTGCTTGCGTGGAGCTCCCTTTTATACAAATGTGTTGCCCATCCCAATTCATTTGTGCTGGGGGCGAAATCACAGCACTTGCCTATCACTGCAAAGGCTTAAGCCTGCCTCACATTTTGCCCTGAGATTACATCTATACAAGCAAAAAGCTCACACTCACCTAAATCGTATTCCTACCTGAAATTCTCCAAGACAAAGGTAGTCGAATCATAGGCTGGTACTAACTCACTACAGGGAGAAAAGCAAATGATGAGTAAGACAAGCACGAACATGGTGGAATTTCCAGGTTTCATTGAAACATGGACAGGTATACAAGTCATGGCACTCTTAACATACACCCACAAAACTCAGGGATGCTTCAAACTTCATCCACAATATTGTTAATTACATTTTCTTAGGCTGTCTGTCTGTCATGCTGGAATACCCCCACCACAGATCATGCTGTCAAACAGAATAGAGATTAAGTCAGGCAGGATCAGATCCAGGACAAGTCCAGTTCAGTTGTTCCCTTCTACCTGCATGGGGGAGGGGATGTCATAGCCTGAGGCATGCTCACGACCTCTCCCAGGATACAATCCTATAGGGTAAAAGAAAGATCTGAGCAGGTCTCAGGTCAGGCATACAAAAATAGCATCCCAATATTATATACTGTATATACTGTATCTGAAGAGGTGTGCATGTACACAAAAGCTTATACCCAGATTAAAACTTTGTTGGTCTTAAAGGTGCCACTGGACTAAAACTTTGTTCTGTTGCTTCAGACTAGCATGGCTACCTACTTGAATCCCAATATTATGTTACAGGTTTTATCCATGCAACTGCCACATTAATCCAGCATAAACACTTAACTGTCTCACCCAGGGGAACTTGGGCTACTGGACTGAACAAGAAGCTTTTTTTGTTTAACGCATACAGCTGATGAGCCATGGCTAAAACATGATCTCATCTACCCACTTCACACAGGTCATGTGTCACTTGCCCAGGAACTGTGCACACAGATCTGACCCACAGCCCCCAATGTAGAGAGACAACAAGCACTTACACATGTTGGACTCTTCAGACATCACATTCTACATGTGGATGCGGAGTACCATACATTGCTGGGAAGCTTGTGTAAACCAGGCTTGTAATTTCTGTTACAACATCCTCCAAGAAGGAGAAGGCCTGGTAGAGGCTACTGAGGCTGTACCTTGTGAAGTCTGGAGGGACAGGCGTAGTGACAAAAGAGGCCATGGGCTTCCTGTGTACTTGCTGGAACATCATCAAGATCTCCGAGCTTTTCAGTATCAGTTCACTTTTACTGCATGAACGTAGCTGTAATGAAGGAAGTGGGAGACGCCATTAATCAAATCAGGCAACAGTTTAAACAGTTTTAATATATATGTTCTTACGCTAGATTCCAAATGAAACAGTAGCAAAAATTAAGGATGGGATATCTAGCACAGTGACACCTAAACACTAAGAACTTAGAGGGAAGGGCAGTTACTTAGGGCTTTATTTTGTATTATTGACATTGCAAGTTGTAAGCCTCCTTGAGCCATAATGAAAGGTAGGATATATTTTATTTAATTAATAAAATAATTTAATTAATAAACACAACAAATAAGCATCAATTTCATAGGAAAGGTAGCAGGGCAGATAAAGGGGCCCAAACTTCCCCAGGAAAGATATTTATTTATTTATTAGTTTGATTTATATCCTGCCCTCCCAAAGGCTCAGGGCGGCTCACATGTGGCAAAGCCGAGTGCAAAATACAATACAGTATATAATAAATAAAACATTTAAAATCACAATAAAGATACTTTAGTATTTCTGACTACACCTTTGTTTGATGACAGAAGAATGCAAAAGTATTAGTCTGGCAAACCAAACACACACATGCTATTTTTTGTGTGTTTTTTTAATTGAAACACTCAAACTTCTGAAAAGAAATTTCTTCACAGAATTTGCATGTATAATTAATTTCAATAGAACTAATTTTCAAACCAATCTCACATGACAGGGAGGATCAGAGATTCAAGCAGGTGAAACTTCCTCAGCTAGCTTAAAACCATTTGTTTCCATTACCTGGTGCTCTACTTCTTGCAGCAGCGACTCTAGGAGTTCAGTTTCTTGGGTGAGTGAAGTCTTTTGCCCTAGTTAAGAGGGCAAAGAGAAAATGAAGATTTTTTTAGTGATAGAATTCTACAGACTTAAACATGCTTGAGGCTTTATTTCCCCCCCCCCCAACAATATGAAGGGAAAATGTAAAAGTGTGTGTAGTTAGACAAGAGAAGCCCCCTAAGAGTGCACCAAAGATTGCAACAAAAACACTGGGTTGGCTTCATTCAGCGGAGCAACTGATCAATTCACTCTGAACAGCACAAAGAACAATGGTTCTGAAGTTGAAGTACATGTTTCAGACAAGGTGTGCAAGTGCATGTCATAGACGGTATTATCTTTGAACAGGCACTCCATCCTGCAACCGAAACAAAATGAGGAATGCCTTCGAAGACAGTACTTGCCTCCCATCAGGAGATATAACTAACTGTTGCTATAACTAACTGTTGCTATAAAAACAATTTCCTAAAAAAATGCCTACCCATTAATGGCAACCACCCATCAGATTTTTTTTTTAATTACTGAAATTGATTAAATATGGTAACACTGACAACCATGTTTTATTTGATTTGTTTTTCAATTGTGCCCATACCGAGTTCTAGAACTTAAAGCTGCATATCAGAGATCTTGTACAGCCAGATAGTTAAGCCCATGAGTTCAAAGTCCCTGATATGACTCTCAGTTCAGCCATGAACTCAGTGGGTGGGCTTGCAAGCCACTGTTACTCAGCCCCAACATACAGGTCACAGAAAAAAATGCTGTATTATTACATGGTTGTGCTAAAAGTTGCAAAGATATTAAGTATTAACAACAGAGCTACACAAATGTGACTGTATTGTTCAACTATCAATTTAGTTTCTCTCAGTGAGCCTTTTCAAATTCTAACTTGCTGCTGTCTCAGAACTTCTGGGGGATGACCAAGCTATAGCTTAGTTTTATCCCCAAAGGAGAATTTCATTAGGTCTACATCCCCCAATCCAGGGGTCATTTCGTAGAAAAAGAGCTAGGGGAACTCATTAGCATAACTCATTAGCATATGCCACACCCCCTGACATCACCGGAAGTGTGTCATAAGGCCACAAACCCCACCCCCAATGGTCCCGGCCGCCGCCGGCCTTGCAGCTCCATTGCCGAGCCCCATGAGGGGCCTGGCGGTGGACCTGCAAGGCCAGCGGGAGTGCAAGGAAGCCCCGCGAAGGCCCTCCCTGGCCCCAGGCAGGCAGGGGTGGGGAGAGGCAGGGAGGAAGCAACTTACCCTCCCTCTTCTCCTGCCTCCTCCTGGCTGAATGAGGGCCAGAAGCGGGGCGGCCGGAAGCAGGGGGCGGGGCTTCGCCATGTGCCCCACCCCCCCGTACCTCACCCGGGGGAACTGCGATCCCCTGCGTTCCCCCCCGAAATGACCTCTGCCCCAATCTAAAAATCAACAAAAAGCAAAAAATAATAAGCCTACCCATTAGCGTTATAAGTTTGTTCTTCAGCTGAGTGTCTAACCTAGCAATCATCATCTCCACTGCATTTCTGATTTCTCGAACACGCTCCTCCTTCGCACTGCGCACAGCTTCTACATTCCTTTCCTGAAAGACATATGCAGTATTAATTTACTTCTAGCCAGCAATGCCTGTATTCATTTCGATAAGAAATAACCTCAAGGGAAACGCACAGGTTGCCCTATATCGGGGTCCCCAACCTTTCTGAGCCTGTAAACACATCCGGAATTCTGAGACAGTGTGGCAGGCACAGCACAAAATGGCTGTCACAGGAGGCGAAGCCAGCCACTAAATGACTGCTGCAGCTTCCTTTCAGTTACACAGGGAAGATCCTTGTACGGTGGGGGCACCACATCGGGGACCCTTGCCCTATATGGTAGTAGCCTTTATTGAAGTAAAAGATAACCCATGACAATAAATGGTTAAATTAATTTATTCTTATTTGTTCAGAAAAGTTTTATGCTGTCCTCCAGAGAACCTGCTCAAGGGGGCTTACAAATTAAAACAATATAAAATGTCATAAAAGTTGTTCACAGTTAAAAAGCAATTTTAAAGCCCAGATCTAAAAACCCAGCCACAGCATAAAACACTGAGCAGCTTAAAATGAGTCTCAAAACAGTTGATACTAAAGGCAGACTATAAAAACAATTTGAAAGATCAGCTATCTAATTAAAAGCCTTGGTGAAAGGAAACATTTTGTCTTGGCACTTAAAGAGTATAGGGCAAGCACCAGGCAAGCCTCAGGTAGAAGGGCAGTCCACAAGTAAGGTACCCCTACTGAGGAGGCCCTATCTCTGGTTGCCACTCGCCTTACTTCTGAAGACTAAGGCACAGAGAGGAAGATCTTAGCTGGCCAGCTGAAGAGTATGGGAGGAGGTAGCCCTTCAGCAACCCAGTCCCAAACCATTTAGGGCCTTATAGGTAAGAACCAGCACTCTGAATTGTGTCCAGAAACAGACAGGAAGTCAGTGTAGATTTTTCAGCACAGTGATGACAAGATCTCTGTATGTGACTCCTGACAGCAGCCTGGCTGCTGCATTTTGAACCACCTGAAGTTTTCAAAGGCAGCCCCACACAAAAGGATGTGTTACAGTAATCCAATCTGGATGTAAATACAGCATAGATCACCATGCCCTGATAACAACAACCAAGGAAGGGCCACAGCATCTTAACAGTCAGAGCTCACAAAAGATGCTACATGCTGCAGAGGAGACTTGAGCTGCAACCACAGGCCAGGATCTAGTAGCATCCCCAAGCCATATACTCCTTCGGGGGAGTGCAATTCCCTTGAGCAACTCTGTCATTGACCAACAGCATGTCAGTTTTTTAGGGACTGACTCCATTTTACTGGCCCTCATCCACCCCCTTACCTTCCCCAGGCATCAGGTCAAGACTTCCAGAGATCTACCCAACTCAGCTGTTAAGGAAATGCAAAGCTGGGTGGCATCCCCATATTGGTGGCACTTTACTCCAAGTCCCCTAATGGTCTCTCCCAGAAGCTTCATGTAAATGATGAACAGCATGGGGGACAACATGGAATCTTGTGGGACTCCAGAACATAAACATTGCAGGCCCGAGCAGCAATTATGGACACATGAAGCTGCCTTATACTGAATCAGACCCATAGTCCATCAAAGTCAGTACTGTCTACTCAGACTAGCAGTGGCTCTCCAGGGTCTCAGGAAGAGGTCTTTCACATCTCCAAATACCTGGCCCTTTCAACAGGAGATGCTGGGGATTGACCCTGGGACGTTCTCCATGCCAAGCAGAGGCTCTACATCTCCCCAAGCACCACCTTCTGGAGTTGGCTGGTCAAGTAAAAGCTGCACCACCAAAACATGGTACCCCCCCAATCCCAACCCAGCCCCTCTAGAATGACACAGCTGAGAGGATCAGGACAGTCAACAGGGACACACTGTCCCTACTGACAGTCTGGGCAATAAAAATAAAGTCTGTTTCCTTCCCAAACCCAGGCCTGAATCCAGACTGAAATGGGTCTAGATCATCTTCCAGACACAACAAAGGCAGGCTATCATCTAATCTTCACAACATTACAGACACTGTCTAGACATAACATAAAAATCCCAGGCAGCATACATGATCACATTCTCAAAAGCGCCCTCTGGTGACAGAAAGAAAAAGAACACTTCTGCTTGTTAAATCTGTAGTCCTGTTTTCAAGCTCACCTATAACAACATCTACAAAAGAAGGCTGTCCATTATAGGCATAATAAAACCCTGTTTGACCAATAGTCATTACAATATCAATCTGTTATGCTGATATTCTCAGGTCCCAAATGGAGAGAACACTGGAGAATTTTCCTGACTTAAAATCCATAATATCATCAACTCTCAGGGGGCTCAGCATGCCAATTTCTCCATCCTCCTTCATCCCCGCACCTGTCATACCTGGCAAGCTCGAGCCCCGTATCCCATTATCTATGAATAATGCTTTTGCTGCTCCACCAACAGGCAGTCAACTTTCAAGTTTACTATGAAGAGTGAAGACACATTGGTCCAAAAAGAATGGGAAAGGGCTACCCCCCCCTTACCACTTCTTGCTCCAAACTGATCAGCTCCATGAGCCTCCGGCGAAGCTTTGCCACTTCTTCATTCACTTTTGTGACATGTTGTTCATAAATTTCAGCTAATGGCTTAAACGTATGCCCCCCGTGCTACAAGAAAGAGACACACATTTTAGTTTCATTACGTCAGTTCAAAACAGGATGCTTCCTTTTGCCTTATTTCACAGAGAGTACTGTCTAAACAATGTATGATGCATTAGTATTCTTCCAGTCTCTTTGAGGCAGAAAGTGATTTAGAGTACAACACTTGCCAAAAATGAGATTCACAGCACAGTTCTTTAGCTAATTAAGAGAAACTGGCTGAACACTCAGAACATGTAGACACAGAACTCTTATTCCATAAGAGGGCCAAATTAAATACCCCAGGCATGCTTACGAATGCGGGCAGCCTAATTCACAGGCTTAAAGGACTTTTTTTCCTTGTTAAAGCAGAACTTGCTCCATCAAGAATGTTTTCCTTTAAAGAAACTTAAAACATAGGAACATTGTTTCAACAAAGTGGTGAAAAGCTGTAGCTACAACAATTATTATTAATATTATAACTAATTATTTTTGAAATTTAGAAAGTCATGTTACAGTAAAAGATATTTCAACCTGAACTATTTCAAAAGAGTATTGTCCTATTTAATCTTCCACTCAGAATTCTATCACAGTTGTTTAACGTCTGTAAATTTAAAGTTTTACAAGAGCTGCAAAGCATGCACATTCTATGGCTTCTGCTTTCAAGAGTCAGAGTGCTCTGCCCAACTTTAAATACTTTCTTATTAATATACCAAACTTCCCTCAGGCCTTGACAAATTTTCTTTGGTTCTACAAGCCAGCCCCCAAAATGTAAGGGTCACATTTATTTCTCAGCCTTCAGGTTTTGTATTTTAATAACCATATTTTCTATTTTTTTCTACCACAAAGCTTAGCACTAAACTCTTTACTGTTTCTTGTTATTTTTATTAAAAATATCACAAAAGTGTTGCGGTCTATAAATAAATATGGGGTACCCTGCCTGTCATCACAACAAAAAGCCAACCTCTAACTTTACCACCACCTCGATTTTGCATACTTCCATTATTACTTTAAATACTGGAACCAGTACAGAAAGCAATGGTCAAGATATGAGTGCATCTACCAACAGGTACCACTTCAGTGGGAAGGTAACAGCGTTCCGTGCGCCTTGGTGTTTAGTCATGCTGGCCACATGACCACGGAAATGTCTTCGGACAGCGCTGGCTCTTCGGCTTTGAAACGGAGATGAGCACTGCAACCCTAGAGTTGGATTCAACTGGCTTTCGAGCAAGGGAACCTCTACCTTTACCCTACCAACACTGAACAGTGTAAAGTTAACAAAACATATTCTGATGTAAGATGATAAATAAGTGTTGCACTTCTACTGAGGATCACAGAGACACTGGACAATAAAATCACTGCTGAAAATATTATAAGCCACAATGAAATTTCTAGGTGTTGCGGTAACCTGGCACCCAGGATTTGTTGAGCCCTGCCTTACATCAAGTCAGACATTGGTTCACGCAGCTCAGTAGTGTCAGTTATAACCAGTGATGGTTCTCCCATGCAGAGACAGGCCAACACCTGCTACCCAAGATCCTTTAAACTGGAGGTGCCAGAGAGTAAACCTGGGGCCTTCTGCAGGCAAAACAGATGCTTGGCCAGTAAGCCACAGAGTTCAAAGGGAACACAAAATTTACCAAAATTGACATATGAAATTTGGCAAGGGGTAATCAAATTTATTTAAAACAGAAAACATCGTCTCTATGCATTCTGGGCTGGGGTGCTTATCACATCAGAACTATGTTTTGTAGTTCAGACAGACGAAAGATAGTTTAGCTCCTTTTAAGGAAACCTAAATCCAGTTATTCTGAAATGATAGTACAAAAGCAACCTGTGAAAGATGCCCCTCCACAGATCATAAGGCTACATCAGGAAAATTAATTTCAATAAACCACAGTTGCAGAACTCCTTTTACAGAAAGAAGTACACAACTGGCAGTGCAGAAGCACTAAGAATTTAAACCAGCACTGCTCCACACTTATACACAGGCTTCCTACTCACCATCCCTCCCCAGAGAGCGCACTGGTGGCAGATGCATTTCTTACACGTCCAACAAAACACACTCAGTTTCTCATGATGATTTTCACACCTTTAAAACAAGAAAAAGATTAAGGGTTTTTAAAAAGCTGTTTTTGCAAAGCCTGTGTTCTTTTCAAACTACTTTTAAAGTATACTGCCACCAACAAGAAGCATGTTTCTATTAGACATTGACAGGTTTAGAAGAATTTCTGATTTGCTAAATTACAAAGAGGAGATACACTAGACATTCATATAAGCATGAGGAGGAGAAGCCTTTAGTTTATAGCATCTTTCTCATATTCTCTTTTTGATATTTTTCATTTATAGTCCTCCATAACTTTAGACATCATTTTCCTTTTGCTTTCCATCTGTCACCATATACTGCACACCTGTTCCTCCTGCAAACCTGAATTAAATACTGTCCATAAGGAAACTAAGGGGAAACAGTTATCAAGAAGCAGCCTGAAAAAGCCAATACTAGAGAAAAGCCAATACTAGAGCAAGTCCCTGAGTATCAAGAGGGTGGATACACTAACTTCATTCCTCCCATCCTTCAGGAAACTCAACATAGAGCATATGAACCAACATCAATAGGATCAGTGACTCCTGACAGCAAAAACAGAGCAGAAGCCGCTGTGAGAGCTCTGGGCTGCCACTTTCATCAATGACGAAAGCAACAGAAAGCTCACCAGGCTATTGTCAAACCTCTATACTACAGGCCTAAACTCTTTGGCAACTCATTTAACATTATAAATAACACAACTATTGATCCAGCCCCAGCATCACAGCCACTCTTGCCCATGCAGATTATTGAAAGAACTGAAATTTGTTTCCTAATTGAAGCAGAGTCTTGACCAACTTTTCAAAACCCCTAATCTACTCCCACGTACTTGTCCTTTTCGTTTTCTTCCTGCTTGTTGAGGTTGCATAGCTGAAGTGTGTCGAGCTGCTGGGTCACTTCCTCAGCCCAGCGACAGTTGACAAGCTCCCGCAGCTGGAGTGGAGCCCTGCAAGTGAGATTAAAATAATTCAGTTCAACAATCCTGAAACAATTCTGTCCCTTCAGAAAATATTCAGCAACTGGCACCTATCCCCCCCATATAAGATCAACAGCCTTCTAAAACACCACTTGCCCAATGTGGGTCAGTTTATATAGTGTTACAGCGGGAAGGGGGGAAACAGAAGGCACAAATGAGGTACAGAGCCTCCGAGCTTCACACACCCACAGAGTCTCTTTTTGACCAATACTTTGGTTCCAGTATCAATGTGTAATGCTGATATTCTCATGTTATGAGAGAAGCTGAGGTTACAAATAATTTTGCACTTGCTTAGGGAGGTTCTCGCCCTGTAAGAAAGCTCATTAATTCTGCAAATGATCCTAAATTAGGAGAGATAGCAGATACAGTAGAAGACATAATCAAGATACAGGATGATCTTGACGGGCTGGGAAACTGGGCTAAAACTAACAAAATTATTTTCAACAGAGATAAATGTACAGTTCTGCATTTAGGTAGGAGAAAGAAATGCATAATTATAGGATGGGGGAGACTTTTCTTGGCATTAGTATATGTGAAAAGGATCTAGGGATCTTAGTAGACCATACACTGAGCATGAGTCAGCAAGGCGATGCAGTACCTGAAAGGCAAATGAGATTTTGCACTGCATCAACAGAAGTATAGTGTTCAGATCACACAAAGCAATAGTATCATTTTACTCTGCTCTGGTTAGACCTCACTTGGAGTGTTGTGTTCAGTTTTGGGCACCACAGTAAGAAGAATGTTGACAAACTGGAATGTGTCCAAAGGAAGGCAACAAAGATGGTGAGGGGTCTGGAATCCAAGTCCTATGAAGAATTGTTGAAGAAGCTGGGTATGTTTAGCCTGAAGAGATGAAGACTGATAAATTATATGACAGCCATCTTCAAGTATTTGAAGGGCTAGCATATAGAGGATGGAGTAAAGATGTTTTCTGCTGCACCAGAAAGGCAGACCAGAACCAATTAATTGAAATTAAATCAAAAGAGCTTTCAACTAAACATTAGGAAGAATTCCTGAGAGTTAGAGTGGTTCCTTAGTGGAACAGGCTTCCTCTGGAGGTAGTGGGCTCTCCTTCTTTGGAGGTTTCTAAGCAGAGGCTGGGCGGCCATCTGACAGCAATGCTGATTCTGTGAATTTAGGCAGATTGTGAAAGGGAGGGCAGAAAAGGATAAACCAGTGCTTGGCTCCTGTGGCCCTTTCATATATATATATATATATACTAGGAGCAAAGCCCATTGTATAAAGTCAATACAACGAGATCTAGCAAGACCCCCGGGGTCGAGGTCTCACGGCCTGGAGCTGCTGGATGTCAGCCTCACCCTCCTTGTTGGCCAGGCTGTCCCCTGTTGCCGGTGCCCATGCGTGCACCAGCCGCCCGACCACCCACAGGCATGAGTGGCACTGGTGTGATGAGGTCCCAGCAGCCAGAGGGTCCCCCGCAGCCAGCGGCCTCCTGGCCACTCGCCACCCGCAGCATCCGGATGCTTCACCCGCTGAAGCGTCCCCTGCGAGAGGCCATCTCTGGCTGCCTCCAGGCCGCTTGACACCCAGCCAGGTACCTGAAGGCACCCACGGCCAATGAAGTCTGCCGCGGGGCCACCATGAGCAGGCTCAGGCCCCACGTCCCGCTGCCTCCGACGTCATGTTGGCCGCTTGCCACCCGCCTGGCTACCTGCAGGCACCCGTGGCTGACACAGACCCCTTTCGCCCGCTGGAACCTCTTCCTCGTCCGTCACCTCCCAGCATACTGAGGCTTAATAAATAATAAATAATAAATATAAATAAGAGTCAAAGAACCCTTTGTCTGGAGTTTTGAGAAAGCTTCTACCCAGGCAATCTTGTTGGTCTTTAAGCTGCTACTGGACTCGAATCTTGTGGTTCTACTGAGCCCCAAATGGCTATCCTCCCAGTAGTAATTCATTTATGGATTTATCCTGCTACGAAGAGATGACTATGCAACAATGACATTTTAAAAATCATTTTGTCAAAGAGGTTCTGGAACTCCGTTCCAGTGTGTTCCCCCAGAAAAAAACACCCTGGTTCAAGTCGGTGATGAGCAATCACTTGTAAGTGATGTCACACTGTTGGCACCATGCTCTAGGATTCACTAGACATTTTATGGTTTTATTTGCGCCAGTGATGTGATGTCATTTATTTGTTTGCTCCAGAAATGACGTCTTGCCATTGATGCAATGTTGATTTTTTTTATTTCCCCCCCACACCATTTTACTGAGTGGCAGCAAAGGGTGAGGGCTGTCATCAGGAGGTCTTCCATAGTGGGAGACCTGGCAGCCCTAGTGTTAGAGCAGTCCAATTAAGGGGTTAGTTGCGTATACTTTAAGATGAGGAATAATTGTTGAGTAACCTGAAATGAAAAATAAAGTGTGTTCTTGGCTACAACTTGTACTGGACTGTCCAATAATAGGCTTGTATCCAAGAACACTTCCAAATGATAAGCATGAAAATGTGGAAGATATCAGCATAAGTCAGTTGTGACATGATGACACTTGTTGGGACATTTATATCATTACTAGTCGCAAAGCCCATTGTAAACTTAAGACAAAGAGCAACGAGCAAGACCTCGGGGTTGAGGTCTCACAGCCTGGAACTGCTGGATGTCCGCCTTGCCCTCCATGTTGGCTGGCCTCTCCCCCCTGTTGCTGGCACCTGTGCGTGTGCCAGCCACCCAGGCACCCACAGGCATGAGTGGTGTTGGCATCATGAAGCCCCAGCTGCTGGAGCGTCCCCTACGGATGGCCAGCGGGCTCCTGTCTGCTCTCTGCCCACAGCATCCTGACGCTTCACCCAGCAGAGCAACCCCCATTGGAGGCTGCCTCTGATGGCCTCTGGGCTACTCATCATCCAGCTGGGTAGCTACAGGCATCTGCAACCGATGAAGTCCGCCACGAGGCTGCCATAAGTGGGCTCAGGCCCTGCGTCCGGCCACCTCTGGCGGCGTTTCGGGCACTCGCTGCCTGCCTGGCTGTCTGCAGGCCTCGACCACCGACATGGACACCTGTCGCCCGCTGGAGCCTCTGTCTCGTCTGTCGCCTCCCAGCATACGGCGGCTGAGAGGGTGGGCATGGGTTCTGTGGGCGGATGGGCGGGAGTAAGGCAATGCATCCACCAGTAGATGGAGACAGCCTGTGCGTGACACATCAGGGAGCGCATTGATTAGGGAGTGTGTGGGGAGTCCATGACCAAAACAGCTTTATATATATAAGGATATATATATAGATACACACACACACACACACACGCCCAGGGTAAAGTCCAGAAGCATTTATTGCAGAAGGAAGCTAAGCAGATTTTCAGACTAAAAACTCTTGCACCTACAGGGCTGAACCAGCCTTTTGATCTTTCATGGGTTTTTTTTTTTGACACACTGGCTTAGCGATAACTTAGATGTATTTCCTGCCATGACTGTTCCTTTAAATTTGGTTACAAATGGTTTTGTAAACTGTCATCAGGGAACACCTGGTGGTCCCTTTATATGAAGTTTTGCAGGAAGGCTGGATAACGCAGCTTTTCAGTGCGATTCACTATGTCCCAGTTGAAACTGTTAACAGGTAATGCTTATACTGTAAGAATGGGTTCTTGATGACAGTATGAAAAGATATGTAATTTCTGTTTTTTGGTTTACAGAGTATCCACCTGGAACAAAATTTATTCAGATTTGTTCTTTGAGAAAGTATATGGGAAATATGTTTGGAATAAGCTAGCATTCACGTCAGAGAAAGAAGGAAGATCTGTATGGTGAAATAATTTTTTGTGAACCTAATTTGAACACCTAAAGGAGTTGTTCCTAATAGTGTGACTTGGAACTACTATACTCACACTTCGTACATCCTTTGAAGAAGATATTTTGTGTATTTATCTGTATGGTACACTCATGTGCATACAGAATTACAGTGTGCATTAATGTGCTTAAAATAAGAACATCTGTATATACTGTGTTGGTACACAGTTCTTTTTGTTTATATTCCTCTGGACTATAAACAGGGGTCATGGGGGTGAGTGGGGGGAGGTAGTTGTGAACTTCCTGCATCATGTAGGGGGTTGGACTACATGAACCTTGGGGTCCCTTCCAGCTTTGTGTTTTTACATGTCTCAAGAGTAACAGATAGCTTACCGACAGTGAGGGCACTGGGCTCTTTGTTCTGTCAGCCAGCGCTGTCAAACAAAGAGACACAGCTTGTAAGATACAGAAGAAATGAACAAATATTAAAAGATAACATCACAGATCTCTCTGTGTCTGGACTTAGGCATGGGATGCAACTACACACACACATGTATTTACTTTCTTCAAAAAAGAAATATGCAAGTTGCTGAGGTCTCAGTAGGTGGGTAGCTACAATGCAATCCTAAAAACACTTTCTTCAGAGTAAGCCCCTTTAAATAGACCTGACTAGGAATGTGAACAGCCTATGCTAAAAGCTAACTGGGCAAGGACACTTTATATTATTCCCACTTCCACATACACACCTTTTAGACTACAAATAATCAACACAGGCTAGTGTGGAAAGTAACAATTGTGGGCTAGTAACATGAGTACTGTACACACATTTAGTTCAATTCCACCTGATTTTTAGATGCAGCAGTAACAAGATAGGACTAACAGAGAACATTAAAAATTGGTGTGCATGTTAAGTGTAAGTCAATGTGCACTTATGCTTATATTCATGCTGACACTATGAATTACTGAACTCTAAAATGTCCTACTGTTCACAACCTGGGTTCAGGTCTTGCAAACTGAGGGCCGCGGCTTCCTTTCTTGAGTCAATCCATCTCATGCTGGGTCTTCCTCTTTTCCTGCTATCTTCAACTTTTCCTAGCATTATTGTCTTTTTCAGTGGCTCTTGTTTTCTCATAATGTGACCAAAGGACAATAGCCTCAGTTTGGTAATTTTAGATTCTAGGGGAATTTCAGGCTTACATTGATCTAGAACCCACTTATTTGTCTTTTTAGCTGTATTTGTGAAACTCTCCTCCACCACCACATTTCATATTAATCAACTGTCTTCCTGTCAGCTTTCCTCATTGTCCAACTTTCACACCCACACACAGTAACGGAGAATACTATAATATGAATTATCTTGATCACTAGCAGCACATCTTTACACTTAAGGATCTTTTCTAGTTCTGTTATGGCTGCCCGCCCAGTCTCAGTCTCCTTCTGATTTTTTGGTTGCCGTCTCCCTTTTGGTTGATGATTGAGCCAAAAAATAGAAAACCTTTAACAAAATAAATTTCTTTATGAACCTTAAAGTTGTGTGATTCCTCAGTATTCATTACTTTCCTCTTCTTGTTGTTCAGCTGTACTCCTGCTCTGGCACTTTCTGCTTTAACCATAATCAGTAGACATTTCAAGTCTTCGCTATTTTCTGCCAGTAATGTGGTATAATCTGCATATCTCAAATTGTTAATGTTCCTTCCGCTAATTTTCACCCCACTTTCATCTAAATCTAAGCCAACTTTCTTATATGATATGTTCTGCATACAGGCTGGAAAGACAGGGAGGTAAAATATATCTTGTCTGACACCTTTGCCAATTGGAAACCATTCTGTTTCTCCATATTCTGTTGGTAGCAAAATAAAAAGGTCTGCAGCACATAAAGCAGGGGCAGATACAGCCCCAGCTAGCCCGATCTCATCAGATCTCAGAAGCTAAGCAGGACCAGCCCTGATTACTATTTGGATGGGAGACCTCCAAGGAATACCAGGGTCGTGATGCAGAGGCAGACAATGGCAAAAACATCTCTTGCCTTGAAAGCCCCTCGGGGTCACCATAAATTAGCAGTGACTTGATGGCTCTTCCCACCACCACGAGATATCCTCCTCCACATTTGATCCATTCATACACAAAAGCTGGAAACACACCCCAATCCTGCTTACCCGAATGCAACTGAAACAGCACAGCTTGGAGCAATGTGGACATAGGCGGGCATCGCGCAATTTCTCCATACAAATGAAACATCGGAACACTTCAGCAATACTCTGCAATCAATAAATAAATTCCAATCATAACTAAGACAAAAGAAAAACATCCGTTCTATAAGTTCATCCCAGAACATATAAATGCACACTCCACTCTGTTCCTGCTGACTTGTATAATATGGATCTCAGCTGTACCTTAGAATCATAGAACTGGAAGGGACCTCCAGGGTCATCTAGTCCAACCACAATGCAGGAAATTCACAAATACTTCCCCCCACACTCCCAGTAACCCTGGCTCTATGACCAGAAGGGGGGATGCCCTCAAGGATCGCTGGCCAAATTGGCCTGGAGAAAGTTGTTTCCTGACCCCAAAGTGGTGATCAGCATTTCCCTGTACATGTAAGAAAGGGCCAAGAGAACTAAGCACTAATGCAACCCTTCTTGCCCTCCCTCTCATGATCTGCCTAAGTCCACAGAATCAGCATTGCTGTCAGATGGCCAACTAGCCTCTGTTTGAAAACCTCCAAAGAAGGACAGCCCACCTTGCTTCTATGTGTGCATAATATCCTAAAATATATAAATATATTTTATCATTTATATTTATCATATAAATATAATACTTAAAAAAATTCAGCTGAAATTTTTCATCTCTTCTGAATTCATAGCTCTGTGTTTGTGCTTGGTAACCAGAGTACAATGGTAAGCAGTTGCCTTAAACTCTCATCCAAATCAAATACAAAGATGCCTATGCCATCCACAGAAGTACAGCAGCAGGTGTGTGTTTACCTCTTGAAGGAAGATATTCTCTTGAAGGAAGACATTCTAGAAATCTTCCCTGGGCTACGTCCTACTTTTGCATAAGTTCAAAGAACAAATATTGCATTCCTTCTCATTCTTTCAGTTTTATTTTGTTTTAAACTGATTTTCCTCTCAAATGTTAGCCAAAGCGGCTCACAATAAAGAGATCAAATACACTCATTCAGAATACAATAAAAGCTAGAGCCTTAAACAAAAATCATTTCAGAAGACTTCCTAAAAAGGACATGCCCATAAGGGGATATGTGTGTTCTTCTACTGCAGAAGAAGAGGTTTTATACCCTGCTTTTCTCTGCCTTAAGAATTTCAAATCCACTTACAATTGCATCCCCTTCCTCTCCCACAACAGGCACCTTGTGAGGTAGGTGGGGCTAGGGGAGTTCTGAGAGAACTGTGACTGGCCCAAGGTCACCCAGCAGGCTTCATGTGGAGGAGTGGGGAGTCAAACCCTGCTCTCCAGATTAGAGTCTACCACTCTTAACCACTACACCATGCTAGCTCTCACCACTACTGTACAGACAGAAAGCCCATATCTGCATGCCAGAAGAATGTCCATCTTCCCCATTCAGATAAGATGCCAAAATATGAGATCATACTGCCATTCCTACTAACATTTCTTTAGTCACAATCTCATTTTTTTAAAAAATCAAATACAAAAGAGGTCACATGAGACATGGTACTGGAAAAATAGGGACGATCAAATGAAGATCTCCTCAGTGTTTTTTTCTTGTGTTCTTCATTCATGCAACCCACACTGTACAGATACAAACCCAATACATTCCCCACTTTGATAAGCAGTAGTAAGCCTTTAGAGACAAGAGCAATCTACTCATATATAAAGTGACTTTGGTGCCTTCATAAATATTTTAAATCCAGTCTTTCACATCACAAAAAAACAGTCCTGCAGCTTGTCCTGCCTTTCACACTAATCAGTTGTGTGTCATAGAACTAAACATACCCAGGCACAGTAGCACTCACTCCAACATTTATAATTACAGAAGCTGGAATTCAAGCCTCATGACAATAAAGCAACCTTCAAGTAGGGGACCAGCGGATGTGCTACTCCTCCATCACGTCACATAATGCCCTGCTCCTTCCTGCCAAGAATCTTGACAGTAAGGTAACCCCAACCTCCCACCACAGAAGACAAAGATGTCTCAGCCCTCACTCAAGTAGGAAACGTAGAGGTGCTTATTAAAGACCCTGCCTTTGGTACCTGCCCAGTGCCTCCTAAACACTATTCATCATCACTATATTTTAAGTACCTTCCACCATCTGATTAACAACTGTTATAAAACAGGCCATCTGCCATGGCCTGTTAAAATGTCATAGGAGATGTTGGATTATTCGTATTTAATGACATCTTGCTTTAATCACTTAATTGTTTAACTTTTTAATATCTTGGTTTTTATTGTTTTTATTATGTTGTAAGCCGCCCTGAGCCCATTTGTGAGGTATCGTGGGGTACGGTGGGATACGTTAACTAAATAAACCAAGAAACAGAACCCAGAATAATTCAATTGCCATTGCAATCTCTAACCTTTCATACGAGGAGGAGGATTGGATTTATACCCTGCCCTTCACTACCCAAAGGAGTCTCAGAGCAGCTTACAATTTCCTTTCCCCTCTCCACAACAGACACCTTGTGAGGTAGGTGGGGCTGAGAAAGCTTTTTTGAGAACTGCTCATGAGGGAACAGCTCTGAAAGAACTTGTAACTGATCTGTCACACCAGCAGCTGCATGTGTAGGCATGGAGAAGACCTGACACCAGTTGGTGTACATATTGAATGCCCAGCCCACACACACACAGGCAGCAAGATCAATAAAGCAAGTCAGAAGGATACCATCCAGAGCTCCTGATGCTGCCTCTATGCCCAGCACTGCCACAGCCCCTCCCAAACATATGCCCATATGTGAAGAAGAGCACCAAGAAAGTAGGAATGTTGATTTGGGGTTATTTTGGCAAAGCTACATTTGGGTTATAATCCAGTCTGCACCAAATACTTTTCAATTTAATTAATGAATTGAAAAGGAATACAGACACAAGAATCTAATCTAATCTAACAACCTAAACTAGATGCTGTATGCTTCTTTAACAATAAATATTCAAATATCAAGTCTAAGTCTTTTTTGTTTTGTATTATGAAATATTAATAAGTATTCTAATTCCAATGTTCTATTCTTTCATACATACACAGTGAAAAAATACAATAACCTAAACCAATCACAAGACAGAAAACTCATGGATTACAAGACTGGGGTGTGTATTTACAAAGTCACTGAAGTGAAAAAAGGTCCTTTTTAAACAATGGTATGAACAAAAGATATAGACCTTGAACAGGACCAATATTTTCAAAACCCGTGGAACATCCACTATGCGCCAAAATGACCTTGGCAAGGCTTAGAACTCCACAATACGTCCACATAGGTGTGGCAATCCTTAAACAATTTAAATTGAACTACTACTAACACAGATCCCAAGTAGTCTCAGGCGTTTCATTTCTTCATCAGAGTATAGTTCATGGAGTCTTCCTTTGATAATTCTATACTGGAGCTTATCATTAAACATCAAAAGCACTTCACACCTCCGAGGAGCAACAAAGCTTCAAGCAGCCATCTTTGAGCTTCAATTCTGCTAAAGGGCTCAGAAGCCCCAACCCCCAAAGTAGTGTGCAGACACTTCCAGAAAGTGCATAGCACTGACCCTTTCCTCACGCAGATAGCAACAGAGATGTGTGTTGTTCTCTGGTTAGTGTGCAGGAATCCCAACACCATGGCACTGGTCTCAACAAATTTTCCTTGGTTCTAGGAGGCAGTGCAAAAATTTAGGAGCCAGATTCATTTTCAGCCTTCAGTCTTTTGCATTTTAATAACCATACTTTCTATATTAACACATACCACAAAAACCAATCCTAAACTCTTAATATATTAAAAGGTATGAAAAAATGTTGTATTATATAAATAAATACGATGTAACCCCAGTAGTCATCACCACAGCAAAAAGCTAACTTCTAACCCTAACCCAACTTCTCCCCCAATTTCTGATAATCTCATCATTGTTTCAAAAAGATCAATTTAATTTAATAGTGGAGACAAAATAGAGTGCAACTGTTTAAGAAATGAATTTGTCCACCGTCACTGGTGTAATACAGCAAAAACTTCACACACATACATTTTTATGTCATAAAATGAGAATCACAACAATAAATCATCATGAAAATACTAGGTGCAGCAATGAAGAACTGGTGTTATATCCCGCCCTTTGCTACTCGAAGGAGTCTTGGAGTGGCTTACAATCACCTTCCCTTTCCCTCCCCACAACAGACACCCTGTGAGGCAGGTGGGGCTGAGAGAACTGTGACTGACCCAAGGTCACCCAGCAGGCTTTATGTGGAGGAGGAGTGAGGAATCAAAACCCGGTTCTCCAGAAAAGAGTCTGCCACTCTTAACCACTACACCAAACTGGCTCTCCACTACACCAAGCAATGAAATTGCTAGGCACCATGGCCACCTGGATTTGCTGGGCCCGGCCACAGCAACGTCCAGTCCCTGTACTACCACCCTCTAAATGGGTTATTTTATCCTTCCATCCTTATTCTCTCTCTGGCATTACCCCAAACTATCTCCTCCTCTAAATGGGTTATTTCATCCTTCCATCCCTATTCTCAATCCTTAGTCTCTCTGGCATTACCCCAAAATATCTCCTTGTTGCTATGTCATAAGAGCAACATACCGAACTATTGTAATTGAAGGGATGGTGCCTACAAGGAACAGGGTGTGGCCCCCCCCACACACACACACACTCAGGAGCCTCGATTATAATGCTCCTCATGAGCCCAAGGGAAAGCAAGCGCTGGGGCCATCACGCAGGGACCCTGCCTAGGCTGCCTAGCAACCCCCGGGGGAAGGGAGAGAGCCCTGGAGCCCCGGCATTATCACAGGTGCCCCTCGTCCACCACTGCCCCTCATTCCCCCGAGAAGCCCCCAGCCCGAGAACCACGGGGAGGCCAAGCCCGAGGGCGGGACCCAGGAGTTCTGCACCATGGCAACCCGCGAGCCCGGCCCCGAGCCACGCCCCAGGCCCTGAGGGGGGGCCCGGCCTCGTTAGTGCCCCTTTTAGGGGAGAAGGGGCCTGCCAAAGAACTGGAAACAAAATGACAGCCGCCGCCAACCGCCCCACAACTAAGGGGGGGGGGAGATGAGAAGAGGACCTCCCGGAACT